ATGTGCTTGGTTTTACCTGACATGAACTTCAGTCAATCCAAGCAGGCTGTGTTTTCTTAGAATCAGAATAGACTTAATTATATGAGGCAGAGTCTGAAACATAACATTTAAATATCTCCTTCTCATGTATTGTGAAATATTCTAGGAAAACTAAGAACATTATCTATGTTGACTTCTTCCTAACAAATATCAATTGCTTTTAAAAAGCTGCTTTTTCATTCAGTCTCCATCCTCAAAAATAAAAACCATTCTTTCTGCAACCCAAAAATTTCAATGAGCATTTCCAAAAACAAAGTGAATAGCTAAATGCACATCAGCCTGGCCTCAATCCAGTGGACAGGTTAATAGATCTGCTGCTACAGCTGTTTACAGGAACCTCACCCAGTAATTTCTGCATCAAAGCCATAACTTCAAGCTGAACTCTTGAATACCCTTTGCATGCCAGTCTGCACTAAAGATTGAAGATAGGACATTTAGGTATGTTCTTTGACTTCATTCCGAGTATTAAAGACCTCTCTGACCTGTTGCCTGAAGTCAGATGCTGATGAATTGTTTGTAATTGTATTCTTAATCTCTGAACTACAGAGTAAGGAACAGTACTCAGACCTTTCAGATGAGGTTAAATTGATGAAATACCCCACTCGAGGTACATTTCTTTGGCCGTGTCCCTTAAACTGCGACTAGGCTCTTTGGAAACCACAGCATTTATAATGGCTCTCCTGGTTGCTGTATGGAGAGGTAGGATTTGTAGCACAGTTTGACCTTAGATACTGTGCGTTGACCTGCAACATTGCTCTGAGCTGGGCAAAGAGAACAGTTTTCTGTGTCATCATTATCTATCTGTTGGAACATGGTAGCATCACATTTTCATCTAGACTGCAAATTCATTTTCATTACAAGGACAAGGGAGGAGAGGGATTTTTTTCCTTTAAAAGAAACAGAACTCAAGTGATAAGGGTAAGGAAAACCCACAAGCTGTTTTTGGATCAGGCTGCTGCTCTGTAGCAAGGAGGTATGTTGTACATCTGCAATCTATAAACAATCACAGTTAAACAAAACAAACAAAAAAAAAAAAAGAAAAAAGAGGGGGGAAAAAAAGGAAAAGCCTTTATTCAGCAAGTTTGAGACTGGCAATAGCTTTTAAAAGTCCAAATAACCTTTTGGACAGCTAAACCTCTATTCTGAGAAAAACTACAGTATCAGAGTGGAAAAGCTCATGTTACTGTTTCTTAGCTTCAGATGGCCATAACTTTGGAAAAGAAATGAAACTGTGAAAACCCTTAGAGCAGAGATTGAGAAAGGATTTGCATGTTTGCATGTGTTTGCTTAGCTTGTTAGGCTATGTCTTTGATACACAAGAGAACACATCTTTCAAATATATTTCCTTTCTTCCTTGCTTTTTTTCTCCAAGATTTCACTACCACATTCCTGCTCAAAGAGGGTTCTGAAGCCAAAAATCAGTCAGTGTTTTATTTTTTTCCCATGAGTCAGCACCTGAAGACAGGTCAACCTTCATGCAGATGGCTGTATCCTTGTAAATTTTGGAGCTTTTAGCCTCTACCTCTTGGCCTTAGACTGGGAATATGGAGGAAGAGAGATTGATCCCAACGACAAAAATGTCATAGGCAGAAGCAAAGAGGATAAAACCTGTTAAAGACAAACACAGAAAGTGTGTTTCCCCAGCAGTCTTTGGTGCACAAAGCACAAGCACGTACATCATGTTCCCAAGGAAGTTTCAAGCTAAAGCAGTGGACATCTGTGGTCTCTTGAAATCATAGACTCATAGAACGGATTGGGTTGGAAGTGACCTTAAAGATCATCTAGTTCCAACCCCCCAGCCATAGGCAGGGACACCTCCTAGGTGTCCTAGAAGTCCAATTAGACCAGGTTGCTCAAAGCGCCATCCAACCTGTCCTTGAACATTTCCAGGGATGGGGCATCCACAACTTCTCTGGGTGACCTGTTCCAGTGCCTCACCACTGTCACAGTAAAGAATTTCTTCCAGAGTGCATATTTTTTGTGAGCAGTTTTGGTTTCAGTAGCCCTGTTGGCTGCTACTCTGTGAACAAAATGAATTTATTGGTTTTGGGGAGGACTCTCTCTAGGACTTGTTTATGTTTCTGTGCAGGCTTGTGAAACGGGCTGAAGCTGGTTCAGTAGAGCGTGCTGGCTGCTGCTCAGGAGTGTGCTGGGGCTCTCAGCACACGGGCAGTTTCTGATGACCTGCCACTGCATGCTGACATTGGTAGTTGTTATTGTCATTCTCACCAGGAAGTGACAGATTTTTGTGTAAGGTGCCAGGTCATTAAGTAACTCTGTCTTGGTTCAGTACCTTCATTTTTATGCTGTAGTGGTTGGATACTGTTACAGGAAAAAGGTTTCTTATGAATAAATGACATTGAAACAGAGCCTTGTAAAGGAACTGTAATACACTGCATGACTGCACATTTTCTATTTTATTTTATTTTTAAGTCTGAGTCCTGCTGATCCTCCAACATTTTAGGTTTTGTTCAAGCTCACATAAATTACTACATGTAGGACTATAAACTACAAATGGTGATATCTGCACATAATGATTGTTTTTAAATAGTCAAAATAATTAGAAGGTTTTTATTCAAGAAAGTATTTTTCCATATAAGATAGTGTATTTTGGGTCTAGAATTCAAAAGATAACAATATAAGTTATTCTACTTTGGAGTTACTTCTTTTTCAGGAATAACAACGAGATCATTCTTAAGAGTTTGTGTGATATTAAAAACCTGTGACTTTAAAAACACAGACCAGGCTCCGAGTTGATCAAACCGAGCACTTCTTGCATCTGGTTGCTGAAGTGAGAGTAGCAACAGTTTTGAGCGTGTTCAGACTGAGGAAGAGTGCTTGGAGATGAAACAGGAACTGTCACAGATTTTTTTTTTTAGGCTGGTGTGGAAAGAGTTAACCTAGCAAAGTTATAATGAGGGCAGAAATCCAGCTCTGCAGTTGGTAGAACTAGTCTAACATTTCATCTCATGCTTATGGTAGACTGGATTGGGTCAACCTCTTCAGGTGGAGGCATTGCCAATGCTCCTTTTCATTCAGAGGTGGCTTCAATTTACACCCTAGACAATTGCAACAACCTGCAGCTTCTCAAACTGTGCTATTGAATGGTGCTTGTGTGGCCTCTCCCAGAGGCCTGATAAATATCAGGAGAAAGATAGTCACTGTGTCCAGTCTCTAACAAAAATTATTGCAAAATTTTGTAATAAAGGGAAAGAAGTTTTTCTCTCAAAATTGTATTGCCTTTGCAAAATAAATGAATGGGATATTTTACTGGTATGATACAAAACACAAGTAAAGTTTATCTGAGCAGTTACAATTACTGAAGTAGGAGTAGGTGTGTCTAGTGGTACTGTATCTTGACTTTTTTTATATTGTTCATTTGAAAATTTGCAGCATTCAAAGCAAGATAATAAGGTTTTTGTTTGGTGTTTTTTCTTCCCTTATCATTCCCTTATTTGCCAGCCTAACAAACTCAGAAAAAAGTCTGAAACTCTGGCTGCATTTTTCTGCATTAATCTCATTGCAAATCTGAGATTTAAATTACAGACCCTGGAACTGGAATTTGGGAAGGGGCAAGATATGAATCTTACTGCTGTCTGTGCTGACTTCTTGAAATTAATAGGATCAAAACAGAGAACAAAAATCACCAGAAGTTGTTCCATGAGAAGTAGAGTTGGGTTTACGATTTATGTATGTCCTTTGTACTTTCCTGCTTCCTATTCCTCCATCTTATGCTCTGTGGCCTCCCCAAAGACTAAAAAACCCATAGGAAAACTGAGGGTATAATTTGAAGGCTATGCCATCCCAGTAGGGCTTGTTGTAACTGGACAGCATGTTCAGGAGTTAGCAGAGAGAGTTAATGAAGCTTAAAACTCACAGGGGCGTCAGAGGGAACTCCAATTGTGAAGATTAAATATGCTTATCTTATTATGGCTTTAAAAGGTTAACACGACGCAAGTAGACTTGAAAAATTCAACCCAAATTTATAATATTAGAGACAAGATTGTGCCACTTCTGCCAGTTGTGGCATGTACCTCAGTGCACGAGCATCCCCACTAGCAATCGGTAGGGCTGCTTAACTACTAATTCAGTATCTTTAGATTAGATGGCGGTATGCCATTTAACAAATTATTAATCAAGACTTTCAAATTACTAATTTAAAATTGGCATATTTATAATGTTTATAGCATTTCTAATGCTCATATGGTGTATTTAATCATAATGTATTCTCCAAATAAATGTAGTATTTAAGATAATTCATGTGTCTTCATGCCACTAAGACTCACAGTTGAAGTGGTTTCCCCCCAAGGTCATGAAGATCTTTTATTTAGTAATTTGTATTCAAGCCTTAGTTAATGCTACTGATAAATGGTTAAAGAGAAGATCCTTTTTTGCGGGTCTCCTCATTCCCATTTCTAGGTTTTGCTCTAGCTCTGCTGAAACAAGTCTGAGTTTTGCTTTTTTTCTAGAAAGTATCCTTTTATTGGACCAAATCCATTAGTTCATTTCCCTTGAGTTGCTCTTTCAAACGCAGAAGGATAATGTTTAATTTCAGGTAAAAACTATTTTAAGTTGAACAGGTTTCACAATTCATAAACTAGTTTTTGTTAAAGGTGTTTTTTGTAAAAATATTTCTGACATGTCTGAATTGCTGCACTGTTATTAAAATGCTGTATTTTGGAAACAGAGGCATTTCCACATGGTCTTTGACATGGGCTCTGTATTTGTAATCAGTTGCTGCTTTTATAAATGGTATGCAATGCACAGGAGAGTGAGTTTGCACATCCTTTTCTGTTCATGCACACTGGCCTGTGGACTATAAATGGAACAAAAGGATGGACTTCAATGGGCACTTACCACTTTGCAAGATAAATATGTGTTGATGAGTTAGAACTTTGTTGATATGCCTGAAGTAGTTTAAATAAAGACTGTGCCACATATATTTTTCTTGTTATTTTTAGAAGTCCAGCCCCAGTGCGACCCGAAACTACGCCATCAACTGGCCCTACAGAAAAGCAGGATATTAAAGTTTCTCGTGTGAGGAAGTTAACGAGGCAGTACAGTTTGTGAGTAACATTTAGCACTATCTCTATGTTTTTTGCCTACTACAGCTGAAAATGAAGGGGGATGCTAATTATTGCTCTAGCTATTCCTTCTGAAAGGCATGAGTGCAATTACATGATAATGATCTTATACTGATACCGTTCCTTTCATCTCTGAGAATCTTTAAGCTTTTAATACAAAGGGAATTTGCCGTCCCTGTGCAGTTGCTAACCCTCAGAATTGCAGGCCCTCTGCCTTTTTCCAACTTTAGAGGTTATAGATTAAAAAACTTTTTCTCACGAAATGTCAAAGACCTGATGTGAGCTGGAGCAAGCTGCTCTGTTTGCTTCATTACAACCTCATTTGCAAAATGAGGAAAACAGTCCTTAGCTATTGGGTGGTCAAGACTAGCTGTCAGCCATTCCCTCTCTGTCCCTCTCTCACTCTTTGTGCTTTTGTCACATGCAGAAATTGTTAAGGCCACGATAGCAAAGTTAGGTCTCTGAATCCTGGCAAGAGTGATCTGTGTTTATAGGTCTTTGGCATCCCATTTACACCTAATTCATCCAATCTGAGATCCTCTGGAGATGTGAGGTACTGAATAGGTGTGAGAATCATTTTGTTGATTTGTCCTTCAAATGAAAGGACAAACAAGGCCACTAGAAACTAGGGGATTAAACTGAGTAGAAAAGGAAAAAAGGGATGTCAGCATAAACGTATTAGTACAAGAACACCAAGGCCAGAATGAAGAAAAAATATATGTTTTCTATGTGGAATGGCAACTGTTAGTCCCTCCAGCAATTTAACATTCTAGTGTTACTCAATTTATAGCAACATTAGGAAAAGTTTTCCTTCTGTCCAAAAGGATTCTAATAAATATTGATATATAGTTATTTTCTGTCTCACTATTAAGAACGCTAGCTTTTGATGTGAGGAAAAAAAAAAAAAAGTAACAATCTACATCACCAAAACTGAAAAATTATTTAGGAGAAGAAACAAAAGAATGAATCAAATTGAAGCTAGGAGGAAAATGAGCAATAAGCCAGACTTTTTATCCAAGAGACCAAGACTGACATATGGGAACGTACAGCCACAGCTTGGTCAGCAGGCCACATAACATGCTCTCCTTTACCATGATGCATCAACCAGTATGGTTTGAAAATGAGACAGGAGATGGGAATTGACAACTCAAGCTGGGAAGAGAACTTAGATTACCTTACAGCCCACCAATCCTGAAGGTAAGGTGTGACAGGGAACTTGGCAGCATTCTGTAGGAGCAGTTTCCCAAGACCTAAATGAAGCCTGCTCAGTCACACTGCCCAGCATAGCTCAGACAGGATTATGCTGTTCTTGAATGAGACACCATTTCTACAACGTCCTTTTCTACAAGCCAGGGGAAGGAAACCTCCTACACATTTAAAGATGCATCTGATTTTTAAGATTTTGATACTGTAGATCTCAGCAAAGGAAAATGTTGTAACACTGAAAGAATCAATTTTGTAATGCTCTTCATATGGCAGATGATGAATAGGACACAGTGGCTGATCCTATTATTTGAGCACACTGATCTGTAAGGACAGGCAAGAAATTAATGTCCTATTGCAGCTATAGTCATAGGTTTTATATACACACTTGGAAAAGTTTTTTAATTACGTTTTAACCAAAACATGTTTTTAAACTTGGTCCTCAAATACTGCTACATAGCAAACAAAGAGAACAGGGTTATGCTGTGTAGACCATTTTAATATAAAGGATATCTTGTTGATGTTACATATGCAGAAGCAGAAAATTTCTTATGGGACCATCAAAGTAAGGTAGTAGGATAAATTTGTGTTAAAGATAACAAGGCTAGTGAGAAATCAGTTATTAAGAATCTGGGTGAAAAAAATTGCTCTAGGCTACGTTAGGGCTGAAGCAGAAGCAGCTATTCCTAGATCATTCTTGTCTGAGAAAGTGTTTAGCCAACCTGTTCTTAAAGGGCAAAGAGAAAATCTTTGGGTCAGAGACTGAGCACCTCCCTTTTCTGTACACGAGCAGTCAGCTGGCCCCCAGAATTGCTGAGCACCTGCAGAACATATGGCCCCACACCTCGGAAAGACGCTGAGGAAAGGGTAAATGAAAATGAGTGAGAAGTTCTCCTAGAGAGAAGGGAAAGGATCCTAGGGAGCACTGGGAGTAACGGTACCACGGAGAATTCAGTAGTGCCTGGGAAGACCAGCACTTGGGAAAGCGAGAGCTGAAGTAATGATGGTGGGAGGCAATTGGAAAGGAAAATAGAGGCAGAGACATGGGGTGGAAAAGTATGTATTACACACAGAGAAGCAACATTTAAAGAGTATATTTTAAAAGAAATATATTTAGTAGTCAGGCGTGAATTCTCAATTTTTTGTTGGTGAGTATTTGAGGAACCAGTTTTTGAACATGTCTTGCCCTCATGGATTTTCAGCTGATGTGTGTTAGGTATGAGGAGCAGCACCGCAAGTGCACAGAAACACATCTAACCATAGGTGTCACCTGTGCTATAACTGTGTGTAGGCCTGAAGACTCTACAGCTAAAAATATGGGCCGTGATTTTTTATTATTTGTAGACCCAAATTCTATCCAATTTAAATTATCTTGTATCTGGACTAAAAATACGGGAGACACAAAGAAATAATGAAGAAGTATTGTGAAAGGAATACAGTGAAGAATTCCAATTCTCAGACCTACAGCTTGCATGCTAATACCTCAATGACTGATAAGAATGGACTCTAACCTTAGCTTTAGTTCCCAGACACTGAGAAGCCTTTCTGAACTGGCAAGTCCTCATCAATTTTCCACTTCCTTGTATGTAACAGAGCAGCTTTACCCAGCAAGGATGGGGAGGGTGCCAGTGTATTCCTGCTGAGAGTGGAGAGCAAGGACTGAGAAAATGTCAGCTACATGTTTCTGAAAGAGAGATTAACTAGGTCAACAGACCAACGCTGGCTTGTTGTATTAATAAAACATCTGTTGAAAAGGTCCAAAAGATTTTGCATTTTCTTTCCAGCATTAAAACAATGTATTGTATGTGCTCTAGTGCTGAATTCTAACCTTACCCAGAAGAAATAAAAAATGAAGCATGGAAAAGATAACATTAATTGCTATAGCTTTATACCATAATAAAAAAACATCACCCAAACAACCCACCAAAAGGCTGTGTACCCTCTATGTAGTTTTGAAGTACTGTGGTGCCCAGGCATGTTGCCTTCAAGTAGCACCTAACCAAGCACAGTTCTGCTCTGGAAGTGTCTGTTGAAGCGGGAAGGCAGGCTTCTGTACACTGGGACTACCTACTTGGTAGTTAAAATTGGTGCCATTTTATGAACAGAAATAATTTTTCTCATCATTTTTCCCTGCACTTTAACTGTCAAACTGTAATCTTTCCTTTTCACACATCATTCCCAGTAATAAAGGTTCTGTAGGCCAAATGGTGACTCTTTACCTCCATGCAATTGAAATTAGCAATTGGAAACATCCTGACTCAGGGCTGACTGATCCCAGTGATTTGTAGTCAATGGGGCTCTACAAAAGTAAATGAAGGTATAATATTCTCTACTGGCTTTCATTTAGTGGTGACAGTAGGTGAGATGGAAAGAGCTCAGCTTGACAGGCTAGAGCCCAAGGGAAGCATGCAACCTGGTTTTAAATAAAATGTTTTCTCTGTAAACGGAATAAATGGGACAGGAAAAAGATATCCTCACAAGAATGTTTCTAAAGAGCTTCTTTTTGGAGTCAATCAAAATTCTTTAAAAACAGTTTGAAAGCAATTGACTAGCTCCGTAATGGGTGTCAAATCTTCCACTGGTCTAAAGCCAATGAAGCAGTTGGTCCCATGGATAGATTTAACCAGATCTGTTCTTATCAATACAACAAGACTCCATAGAAAAGGATAAACATTAAAGCAGAGTAATATCAAATCACTTCATTTATTCACATGTACATATTCCATAAAAACATAACTTGCACATCATATCCATAACATATCCATTTGCAGATGAGAATTACCTAACCAATTGACTTTTGAGGAATCTTTAAAGCTTAACAAATCTAATTTACTTGAAAAGTTAGCTGCATTGCAGGTGGAAGAGTAAACAGAACTTCACTCCAAAGCACTACCGCTGATAGTTTTCCAGTGCCTCCTATAGCATAAGTACTGTCAAAGTCTGGTGTCATTTTCTGACAAGATCTGTCTGCTTTTATTAACTATAGCGATGAAGATGACCTTCCTCCAGCACTGGCAGCAGCAGCATCAACACCTGTGTCTTCAGCATCTCCCGGGTCACAGAAAACATGTACGCCACAGACATCAGAAGGACAAACACAGGTTTCACCTGGTGGCAAGGTAATATGCAAGGAGATGAGCTTATGGCAGTTGGGAAACAATTCAGGAAGAGTGGGAGGAAGTTGCAGGTAACATGTGTTCCTTCAATGGAGTCATTCTACATTTAGGACTAGTGTTTAATGCAGAACTGTAGTAATGTGTTTAGCCTGTTGTGTAAGGAAACATTTAGAGCCTGCTCCAGGACCCAACTAAAATCAGTAATAGTTTTTCATCAACATGAGGGAGTAGTGGATCAGGATTAAATTAATATTTACCCTGATTTCAAAGGTGCATAATTTTGTTGTCTGTCTGTCCTGAGTACCCATACTTAAAACACATGGTGTGAAATTTGGAATCTATTTAGCAATCTATGCTTTAAGGAATTAAAAATAACTCAGAAACAACAAGAAAATTAAAGAAACAAAATGTTTTTTTCAAAGGTGGGTTTCTTCTTTGCCTTTAGAGTTCCACAGATGCGGGAAGTACATTTGCTTTGGAGCCAGGTGACCTCCTGATGGATTTCACAGAGGCCACACCTATGGTAAATAATTTCAGTTTGCAACTGGGAAAATGTAAAAGTTTTCAATAATTTGTCTGCAGGTAAAATGAATGGGATACTATGCAATGCGTTCAAAAGTGCACAGGAATAAAGTAAGTTTCCTTGATATTCAGTGATCCTGAACATCCTTCAAACTCAACTCAGTATCTCTGAAAATCAATCAACAAATATTATGGATGAGCTTTCAAATGAGATTCCTTGTTGTGGAAAGACTTCTCATTTCTCTCTCCTACTTGAATGTCTTTACGCCTTGCTGGACTGGTTTCACCAGCCTCTTTTGTCCCTTTAACATAGATTCAAATCATAGAATTGCTTTTGGGAGTTTTCTGGAAAGTCCCTTCTCCCCACAAGCTTTGCACAGACCTTACTCAGTAGTCAACTCAAAGACATGTACCTGCACTTCCATGTTTCATTAGTAGAGTGCTTTTCTTCAGTTTAAGGCAAAATAGTCTATAATGTGTTGATTATTAACTCCTATTTTTAGAAGTACATAATTTATATTTTCGCTTAAAAGCAGAGGAGAGATGCTAGTCCCACTGAAGTCAAAATCCTCTTGACTTCAGTGATCTCAGTTTTTCACCTCAGATTCACAACATATTAGTTGAAGGATCACAGTATGATCCTTAACTTTCTCCAACCTTCTTTTGCATTGCAAATAGCTCTAATGCCAGAGGGCTCCTCTGCTGTCCAAAGCCATTTTTGCTGTCTTCTGGAACCCATGTTTAAAGCATATAAAAAGCATGACAGGGTTTTGGTTTTATGCCACTATGATTTCGGCATAAACATTTTTGTATTTAAGTACTTCTGTTCTGGCATTGCTTCTACTACCTGGTTAGGTCCTTGTTTACAGTATCAGATAGCTGCTGCGGGGATGTGTGTTTTGCTTTGGAGACAGTATGGTACCAGTCTGTAAATAACTGCTTGTGTCCTGTTACCACTGGATGAGAGATGGGACTTCCCCTGCAAGTCCAGTGAAGGCTTACCCCTCCCTGCTTGCAGAAGGGATGTGAATATTCAGCATGGCTTCTTGGCTTCAGAGCCACATTGAGGTGGGCAAGGGATGTGCTATGCCTGGGGACTTGCTGCTGTGGATGGGAAGACAAGTTTGATGCAGAGGATTGGGCAGGAGCTAGGGAGAAGCTGAGACTCATCGATATACTTCAGTTTGGGAATGGACAGTGGGCCTAGAAGGATAGAGAGAGCTGCATAGCTGTTCTCTCTCACGCAGTTTCAAGCCTGTGGCATGTGTTTCTTCACAAAGTCCTTGAGGGGAGTTGATGGTCCCTCTACAACTTCAGGAGGTTCAATAAGAATGTTCTTCACCTGCCATCAAAGTGCTATCAGCACCCACCCTGTTCCTGCTGACCCTCTTTCTGTCTTTGCCCTTCAATCTGGTTCAGCTGAACAGTCCTTGTGCCCCAAGACTTTTATAGTGTAAATGTTGAATCTCTGAACTACTGAAATTTAAGGGGTCCTCTACTTCCTTGAGCTCCTAGGTCTCCTTGGTGGACAACTATTCCAGCGCTAGTATCTGCAATGAGAGTATAGTGCTTACTGCTCCTACATCCACCATGTTGGAGGGACCTCCTTTTGCACCTGAAAATACCATTGCAGACTGAGGAGTGTCTATGGAAATGAGAAGGTTTACGTGGAACCTCCTTGAAGTGCTGGACAATGAAATTATCCCATTCCTGAAAGTGACAGGAAGAGATGTATTTAAGCTGAATAACCCCCATCCCCACCCCAGACATTTCTGGCAATTTCCCCTGGAAAGGGAAAAATAAAAGGGAGCAACAGAAAGAAAGAAAGAAAGAAAGAAGTGCAGCATTCTGCAGCCTTTGTCTGTAGTCTGGATTGACAGGCAGACTGAAAGTGAAACTACCTGAAAGGAGGTTGTGGCAAGGTGGATGATGGTCTCCTCACAAGTAACAGGTGATAGGACAAGAAGAAACAGCCTCAGGTTGCACCAGGGGTGGTTTAGATTGGATATTAGGAAAACATGCTTCATGGAAAGGGTTCTAGCACTGAAACAGGCTGCCCAGGGAAGTGGTTGAGTCACCATCCCTGCAGGCATTTGACAGACGTGGTGCTTAGGGACAAGGTTTAGTGGTGGACTTGGCAGTGCTAGGTTAATGGTTGGACTCGATGATCTTAAGAGTCTTTTCCCACCTAAATGATTCTGTGATTCAGTGTAGGTTAGATTGCCCTTCTCTGCATTAATAACATGCTTGTGGCTTAACTGTAAGTAATTATACTTTGGAGCTTACTGGTAGAATACTTATTCTAAGAAAAATTATACCATATCTTACTGTATTAATCAGAATTTTTAAAAATGAGTCACGGAGACTTCAGTAACTGACCTGCTCTAGATAACATAGATTTGGGTTTTGTTTCCATTTAATAGAAGTCAGCATTACACATTTTTCCAGCTGAGGATACAGACATTTTTCCCTGAATATTTTACCCAGTCATGCTTTCCCCTTTCCTACCCCACCATCCACTGACATAATTTATCTCACTGTATGTTCATAAACTAACCTTCTATGACTTTCTTGGGTTTAATATTTCAGAGAGCATGTACTGCACGGCATCAATCAGCCCTTCTTGTTTTGTTTAACGTCTATAAAGGTCAGCTTGTTCTCTACAGAGCCGTTATTGTTTACAGACCTTTCTCTGCAGTTTCACTGGCTACAGGCTGCTCTCAATTAAGGTTTGAATGAAAAGTTTACTCTTCAGGGGGAGAGGTTCCAAACAAAAGCAAGCTAAGGGGGAATGCGTAAATTTAGGCCAGCCTGATCATTTAATAATTTTGTTGTGGTAAGATGTGCTGTCATTTGCAGGTCAAGATCATGTGTTACTTGGTGTTGTGTTACTGTCAAGTCAGTGGTAGTGTGCTGGTTTTGCATGCTATGACCTGACCCTTGGGAAGTTGCTTGGTAATTACACCCATTTGTTTCATGTTCACTGACAGGTACAATATTTAAAGGAGTCATTCATGCTGCCTGATTTGGGGTATTTGCTTGAGGTGATAGGGTTGGAAGTTCAGGTTCCTGCATAGTCATGGGGTTTCCTAGAGAGGGGCATTCAAACAGCTGTCTTGTCTTTGTCATCTGGACTAGAGAGACTAAGGCACCTAAATTGGATACCTAAAATCAACTTTGTTTTTAAATTTTGGTCATGATATATGCTGCCAAACTTCCCCTGTTCACTGGAGAGCTGTTAATTTGAAGCCATTTCAGACATCCTCCCTCCTCTTCTATAACACTACTGGCAAAGAGTGATTAATAGTCACTGATTCAGCTGCATGATCTTCACTCTTCAGCATCTAATCATTGATGTTTCTTGATGGCCTTGGGTTTTATCCATGTTTTGCTGCTGTTACCCATACAGTGGAAGCTTTAATACATGCTGAGAGTTACAGTTAAAAGTGGAGCTCGCAAAACCAAATTAACTTATAAAAATGGAAGGATTAGTGAATGGATTGGATTAATAGAATTCATCCAGGCTGCCATGCAGGGATCAGAGCAGTCAAATTTGTCTGCTCAGTCAGCCTACAGGAGCTACTGTGATATATAGAAGAACCAGCTGAGCTCTAATGGTCACTTAGTCATCAATACTTAGACTGCCAGTAACAGCAGGGTAATTGTGAGGCAGACTGATTTCAGGAAATCATCTTGCAGGAGAAATGATGCACATTTACTAATGTAGATTGCCTGGAAGGAAAGGTATTCTTTTGGGTTCTGCAATTCTTAAACGATGTGATTTATGCATGCTTCTATTCATTTTTCAAGTAAATCCTACAAACAATTGATTACAACCCATTACATCCTGTTCTTAAAACCATTATATCATGTGCAGGAGAAAATCCCTCTCTTTTTGTACTGCTTCATTGTGACTTTAAGCACTATACCTGGCTTGTATGTAAACAAGATTCAATCCCCTCTACTTCCATGTTTCAAAGAAAAGCTGGTTTTGTTTTTTTTTTTTTTAATACAGCATTGTATATGAAGAAATATAGTATTGCATTATAAGCATCCTTATTGTGGTTTATTGAAACTAGTTTTATCACTGTAGTAGGCTCTTTCTGCCACCTACCTCTCTCTCTCGTGTTTCTAGCTTTTATAGAACTGGAAATCAAAGCTTGAGCTTCAAGCTATTCTGTTCCAGCTTACAATCGGTATGATTTGTGACACGGGTATGAATGCAGAGCTTTCTTGTTTCATTACAGAAAGCTCAGTCCTAAGACCCTGAGTCAATGTAACAGCTGCTACACCGTGCTGACAAATACCTTCCCAACCAAGAGAGAAGGGCAATGTGCACGAACTTCAGTTTGACATGATGGAGTGGGACAAAATAAATAAGAATTAACAGTCTTACACACAAGATGTAGCTACCCGAAACTTGGACTAAGGTTTATAATGCAAGGTCGATAGGCTAGGACTAAAGCATATCCACATCTGATGAGATATCACAGGCCACCGATTTACAACTGGCAAGTGCAAACTGTGGGTTCTTATTTCATGCTGTACCAAGTGAATAAATTTCTAGGGCTTCATGTGCCATCTATTGGTGAAAAACAGTAAGTAGAAAACTATATGCTTTTTCAAACCTTCGAGATGTAACATTTAAAAGGGATGAACTATCACTATGACAGTTTAAAAATGAAAAATAGATGGTATTCAGAGTAAAACTGTATTTTTGTATTTAGTTTGAGCGTTAGGAAACAAATATTTTTATTTCAGTAATAGCATTACTAGCGTAAGTAATCCTGTTCATTGAAAGTTATCTCATTGAGTGATAGTGAAAAGAGGAGAATAAGTAAAGAATCTTCTCATTCCATTCACAAGTAATATTTGTTATATTGATAAGGAAAAGTTGATTGGATTTTTAGTTGTTAATTTTTTATGACAATTTTGCAAGGTTACAATTAGCCAAATAACAGTGGGGAATGAGTTAAGTATTTCTTGCCTTCATTTTGAAGT